TTTACTAGAAAAATGTTATTTTTTATTATAACTTTTCTATTTTTAAAGGTATCTACTTCAAACTTCAAATACTTATTACTAATCATCAAATACATTTTATGTGACAATGTTCATAACTCTTGAAGCAATATTTACAGATTTATCTCTCTTTGAACTTAGGATTTTCTTTAAGAAATATAATAACTTCTTTACTTTTTAAGGTATCTACTTCAAACTTCAAATATATATTTCTTATCATTACACAAATGTTGTGTGACAAGGTCCATAACTCTAGCATGACTATTTCTAGAATTATTCCCCTTAATCTTGGAATTAATGTTAACAAATGTTATTTTTTTACTATAACTTAATACATAATGATACATAATTGATTTTTCTTTCATAGTTTTGTCCTCCTTACTGCGTCCAGTATTTTATTAGTCGAGCTTTGCTGTCTCCTGTGACAGCTCTTGTTTCTTTATGCTGATATAAATATTTGTGTTAAAAGTCCGCTATAAATGACATTATGAGCACTGCAGATAAACGGAAATGTGCGGAATTCTATTATGATAAATAGGTCTGAAATTCAAAATACGGAGGTGTGTAGGGCCGAATATCATGCAATACATGTATGACTAATAATCTGTAGTTCGTACATTCGAAATGTAAAGCATCTTTGTTGTACGAAGTCCGTACTTTACTTAAATTACGGATCTTTTTATTAAAAGTTCGTAGGTTCCTAAAATACAAAAATTTCGTATTCTTGCAAAAACGGATTCTGTATACAAATTAAAGAACCAAGATGTAATCCTAAATTACCATTTTCTATTAAAGGAAAGAAATAGTCTGATCTGACATTTGTCAGAAAACATAAAAAAGTAAAGCTCTAAATAAATGAAATATTTTCCGGTTTTATTAACATATCAATTGCATACTGATCATATGGTAAGTGAACTGAACATATCAACAAAAGATCCTCGACAGCGTCCGAAGCATGTACAAACAAGAGAACCTACTCAAATTTCCCAATTGAACTGTCCTGCAGTGAAAGAAACAAACTTAACTTGATGTAACAGACCTTATTTAAAGAACATGTGTCAAATGTGTATCTTTAAAGATTTTTGTTTATTATGTACAATTTCAGATTTCTTTCTATTTAATGCAAGAATGAGCATATAGTTGTTTTAAAAGAACAAATCTGACAAAAGTTAAAAAAGATGAAAACATACGGAAAATCATTTGCAGTGTAATACAACGTAACGTAACGTCACGTAAACATACACGTCAGTGTCAACGAAAATTGAACGTGGAAAAACATGACAGTTTTGAAAAGATTGGTTGCAATAAGTTGATTATTAAAAAACTTGGGCTTACCCTACCTAATTCGGCATTTGAAAATTTTGAATTTCGATCTTCGAGCTAGCTCAAAATTCAACTCCAGCTCGAAATTCGGCTTTTGAAAATTTTGAATTTCGATCTTCGAGCTGGCTCGAAATTCAACTCAAGCTCGAAATTCGGGTTTAAAAAAAATGAATTTCGATCTACGAGCTGGCTCGAAATTCAACTCCAGCTTGAAATTCGGCTTTTTTAAATTTTGAATTTCGACCTTCGAGCTAACTCGAAATTCAACTCCAGCTCGAAATTTGGCTTTGGTTTACTTTGAATTTTGATCTTCGAGCTAGCTCGTAGTTCAAAGCTAGCCCGATATTCACTATAAACTGAATTTCGATCTTCGATGTCAGTGCTAACTTCTCAATACTGTTTATTTTCCTTAAAACAAGAAAAAAAAACAACAAAAAACAAAAAAACTGAGTTGCTGAACTGGGATTTGAATTCCAGACCTCTAGCTCCCAAAGCGAGCGTGTAAACCCCTCGACCACGGGGAGTTATAAGATAACGGCCTGAGAGAATACCATACTATTCTAAATTAGACTTTGTAACCCTTATTAATTTCGATATATTTTTTTCACGGTGAACCTGTTGTTTAACACTGAAGTAAATTATCATGGAGCTGAATATAAGCATTTATTACATGCTTTTCGGTGGTTTATAGAAATACGAGGGTTGTCCCAAAATATCGTAGACAAAGCCTGTTACTCAATCAATTATAATACAATTGAGTCCTCCAGCTAGGGAAAAGTCAATACACATTTTATGTGTGTCTATGCAAAATAAAATCAAAATACCTCCAAAATTGACCAAGTTATCAAAATTTAAAGAATGCTACCTATACATACCCGGCGCACGCCGTCATAAACGTTATGACGTTATAACATTTTTTTTTTTAAAAATTCAAAGTATTCACCGTGTTTCGCGATGCACTGACAGTGTGGGGTAACACAATTTTATCATAAACGTTTTCAAAACAGTCCTGCTTCAATGTACTCAACACTCGCAGAGTTGAGTTTCCTGGCGGAGTTCGCTGAAGTTTTCGAACATGTGACCTCGTAATTGTGATTTCAAATAAAGAAACACTGCAATGTCTTAGGGCGTACGGAAGTCTCTGAAAACCTATCACATCAAGTTCAATCTGTGTCTCTTTAGATCTATCGCAAGGTGCATTATCTTGATAAAATATAATGTTCTCCATGTTGTCAATTAACGCTGGACGCTTCTTCAACTTAACATAGTATTCAGTGACATTGCGTTGCGCCGCATTTTCATCTGACGTCGCCATTTTGGGCGTTTTCAAAATAGCACTGCTGTTACGTATTTTGCTACAGACTTTTTCAAATTAACGTTACATAAACGTCTGTTGGTGATATGACGTAAAAATGAATGAGGTAATTCCACATGAATGTATTTCCCATAATTATTATTATGCTGGAAGTTAAAGGCATTATTTTAAGAAGCATGCTCTCAACACTGACTAATATTTTATCGTGCTCCGGGTATGTTGTACTGTTAAATATAAAACCCTAATAAAAAGCGTTACCTAATATATTGGCTATTGACTTTCAGTAGGTAAATTAACAAATGACCAAGGAAGATATCTGGTAAATTTTAATAAGTTATGACGTCAGGTTGAAGAGAAAATAATGTAGTCTACGACATTTTGGGACAACCCTCGTATATCAGTGATATAAAACTGGTAATTTCACTGTTTGAAACAGTAAAATTACCTCTTTGATAATGTCACTGTTTTGCATTTAAGCCCCTTACGTTGTTTCAGTGAAATACCAGCGTGCAAAGTACTGGGTACCATCTTAATGACGTGACGTCGTAAATGACGTCACGTTGTTTTATTATTTGGCGTGCTTTTCATTCAGTATTAGGTTAAATGTCTTTTTAAAACGTTTCTTTGCATATAATAAAAAGAAAATTTGTTTAGTTTAGTGTAAGATCGAAATATATTTCACCTTGTGAAGACCAAAAATTCATATTTCACTTATGGCTGCGCCACTCGTGAAATATACCTTTTGGTGCTCACTCGGTGAAATATATTCCGATCTTACACTGAACTAAACAAATATGCTCTATGTATATCTATATGAATAACACAATATTAGAAATCTTCGACCAGTCGGGAATTATTTTTTCGTTACGAAAATTAATGCGCCTGTCATTTGACAATCTTTACCGCAGTGATCTCCACTTAATTTTTCGGCGTTAATGTACATATGAAGGGAAGTAACCGCTTTGAGGAGCTTGGACTACTTTCGGTATTTGCAAATAAGAAGATCAGGGTCTCAAATTTCGCTACCATTATTTGTTTGGTCTGACGACCAAAACAAATAAAACTGTACCCCCTTTGCACGTGTACAGGTCATTCTCTGCTGAAAACAATCTAGTAAATATTCATCCTAGTGATAAAAGGTGGTATGTCGAATGAAAAAGAAGTATACTCCAATATACACATAAGATTAAAATACTGGAGCTTGAGGTGTGCTACTTTAATAGCACTTAAAATAAAGATATTTCGGTTCATCTATTTTTTCATTTTTTCTTTCTAAATTTTATATAAAGAAGCAGGTTAGGATTTCAATACCTTCAATAACGCACGTATCCTCTACAAAATGCAATAGTTTCTGAATTGGTCACTCCTATTTGGAGTGTCTGTTATGTTAAACAATGTATCCGCTTGATGTTATATTTTCCTAAGTCTATTAACTTTAAAGTGTTAATTTCGATTTCTAAGTATATAAGCCGTGACATGTTATAATAGATAACGAAGGAATACTAAGAAAACACTTTGACACTGGAAATAAAATACCAATCAAAATAATAAATGTGATTATTGTTTAATTACTGAATGTAAGAAAGTCCCGAAAGTGTTTCCTGTTGCAAAGGAAAATAAATTGTCCTTTAAAAAGATGAAAGTAATGTTGTCAACACATAATTTTCCTTCAAATTTTCTTTCTTATGGTTCTTAAAATAGGACTCAGCAAGTTTTTTTTAATGGTTCAAAACTTTAAACCAACAAATTGTCCAACGCAATAATTGTTCATTATTCACTGTATAGTCAAATTTATGGTAGAAGTTATATTGAACAGTAGATTTCAAAATATGTGTACATCGGGCATGAACTATGATGAACTGGTGTAAATACGTGTGAGTGTTAAATAAAATGCATAAACAAATGAACGGACAACAAAACAAACCAGGTTTCTTGAGCTAGAATACCGTGTTGCGTTTTAAATCTTAATACAAATAAAGAGATATTGAAATGTACATTGTCGTTTTTGTCTAATAGCATGATTTGCTCACTGACCATGTTATCAGTATGCAATTGACATGTAAATAAATACAGGTATCACATCGATTTCAATATTTGGAACAAAAGTGATCCCTTGGAACAATTAAAAACAGCAAAATAACATAAAAGTTGCAGATTCGTTTTGATGAGTCTGTAAATGAGGAATAATGAAAAAGTGCAACATCCCTCACGCCCTGACCTTGAGCAGTACTCAATTCTCAACACTGAAAAATGCTGGACTCAGTGATCCCGAAGTAGCAGAAAAAAAACACCGAAGTGATGTACGGGGCAGTAGAAGTAGTAGTAGCAGCAGCAACAACAGCAGTAGTAGTAGTAATCTTTATTTACATCTCATCATTGTACAGACACTATATACACAGCGTTAAAAGTTCATAAATAGTATAAAGTAAACAGCCACTCCAAAATCGAGTTATAATGAAATAAAAACATATTACAATGTTAGACTATATATTGATAACACAAGATGTTTATGCGATAAAACTGGAAAACCATTGATATCCATAAATTAACAAAAACTAAACACAGTGAATTAATTACGGCAACAAGCATACTTTTTATGGCTTTAAAACTGAGAAATTATATTAGAAATAATAATGAAAATAAAGCATAAATAATATCGGTAGTATTAGCATATTTCTGTTCATGAGAAAATTAACAATATTTCATCTGATCTGCTGGGCATTGTTGGTATTTTTTACCCACAATACCGCCACTGACCACGCTTGATCAAACTAAACTTGAAAAGATTCTTATCTTTAAATTTCTTTTACTATTTCTATCTCATTTTTTAAATTACATTACGTGTGCTTAGTGTTAAAAACTTTTATTTGCTTGTAAAAGTCCTTTTTTTTCGTTTTGTTGAACGATTAGATTTATACTTCAACTTGATATATTTTGCTCTTATTACATGAAAATGACAGGCATCGTTTTACAAAATGTATGTCAAAACTTATAAAGGAATATACGTACATATGGCAGTAAGTATGATTATGATAACTGACAAAAACCGCTTTTATCATATAATGTCAACATTATAGAAAATGTGTGGAGCATGCACTTTATAAGCCATTTAATTTAACAATATCTAGTGCTGAAATTTTATATTAGAAAATATTGATAACTACTACACAATCTCTTTTAAATACAAAATAAACATGAGTTTACTTCTTTGTCATATTAAAATCTCTACACACTATATATAGGTGGTCACTATATAAATATAAAATGTCGTTAAAATACTGGCAGTTTTTTCCCTTTTCTGAGTGTACGAAAAGACTAACTCTGGATGCGTGACTTTCAATACATATATTTTTCACTTTTGATTCAAATTAGACGGTCATATTCAGTAATAACTTAATAGATTTAATAAATGACTTGTTTGAAATATTTTACTCAAGAGTGAGCATAGTATACCTTCAACAAAATGAATGAGATATGATTATCATTATATAGATATAAGGACGCACATTCGTTTTATTAACTGATATAACTTCAAAAGTGCGGATGTCAAAATATCAACATACAGTTAAATGTTTAATTGTGTCTTATACAAATATGTACAAAAGTGTAAAAGCGGCCTTCAGCTTTTCTAAGGTTAGATATGTTCTTTTTAGATAAATCGAAATTTGTCGTCGATAAAATAAATAAACAAGCAGGAAACCTATCGAAAACATAAAAACCGAAGGCTGCTGAACACATTAAAACATCAGACAGTTATTCAGCACTATACAAAAAATGAAACTGAATACACTTGTTACTCTATCACGTGCATTGACGTGACACTTTTGATTGTTGTTGTTGTTTATGCTAACTGCTACAATTACATCAAAGAAACCAAATTTTTCTGTCGACATTCATGCTCAGATACTGAAAACAACAAACAAAAATTGCAAAACAATGACAATATATCGGAAATCGTTTTAAAGAAATCAATTCAATTGTAGACAAAAAATTCTATGTAAACAATCAAGATATATACTGACATTAAATTATTGCGTTATTTAAATAACGATGTTACGAACAATTAATTCACAGATACCTTGAACTCTCCCAAGATTCTGAAAATCGTGATCTGATCCTAACACAACATCACTGTTTGATTCTGAAAAATAAACCTTTTATTAGCTTGTTATTCTTGTAATACATCAATGCAGCTTAACATTAATTTATATCTTCATTAAAACATTAAAATGGAACAAGAGTCAAAACCTAATATTATAACAAAACCATAAACCCGTGATGAAATTCAGAGCATGTTATTTGACTATACGTACATTTGTTTTTCGAAAGAAATTGTTATAAATTGTTATCAGTCATATATAATTTAAATGAAATTCAAATGAAGATCTGACGAAGTCAGTTTTAGAAAAAATACCTAGAACAAATTCATGATTTCTGACATTGCCAGCGTTTTCTGAATTTCCAAATTGAAGAAGTTCGATGCCTGAAAAAGATTTGAATAATTTGGTTACTTTATTATCTACAGACATTTTTCAACACGATATTTCCACAGAAAAGAAAATAGTATTCGCGCATGAGCATGCTGTGTAGGGCATAAAAAGCAATTGCGTAATAATACATCTTACCAGAGACATAGACAAAATTATGTTATATACAACTCTGATATGTGTTTTAAACAACCTCGTTAACAATTTCATGTAATCTAAATAATTAACCATTAGATAGGAATAGTTTATTTTGATATGTAACCTATACAATTTAAAACTTGGTGGTAGAACAAAATATGATCTTTATTTGACCGGGTTTGACTGGCCCGTGCAAAAAAAGAAATGAAGAATATAAAATTCATTGATGAAAAACGTGATATCAGTAAAAATAAGGCATGCCATTTACCAGCGTTTTCATGGAGTGGTCCCATTGTCTCGCTATTATCATTGGCCCTTTAATGCAAAGAAATTATATATTGGACGTATTTCATAAAGATCATTTACTGGTTATAGATAATAAATAAATAAATAAATAGATATATCAATAAATATATCAATCAATCAATCAATCAATCAATTAATAATTATAATATGTACATTTTAGCACAATAAAGGAAGAACATTTGATCAGAATTCAAATAACAAACTTTTGTTAACAGCATAACAAAAGACATATATTATATTTCCGTCATATTATTTTATCTCAGAGGTATTTCTTGCGATTGCACCAAATGTTTTTGTATGGTACATTCATGCGTCAAGAGTCATCTGTAATATTCTATATTGCTAAGACGATATTTTGGATCAAAGTTATATATTATAAACTTAATATATAAACAAACTTTACCTTTTCCGGCATTTCCAGAGAATCAACGTAACCACAAGTATGATGATTACAACTACCGACACAGCAAAACCAGTCCCAAGTATTGCAACAGCTGTATTTACTGACTGATCTGATGAACTCGAGTCTAAAATTTTATTTAAAAAAAAACAAACAAACAAAAAAAAACATCGGTATAGAACTGTATTAAATATTTTCGTAAAATCATCGGTAATTAACACAATGATATGACCTTAGAAATAAAAACATGATACATGGGTATAATAAAAGACATATTTTAAAGTTCATAATGGGGTATCTCTATATATTTATCGGGGCATATTATTATATCTTGTATTTATATGGTTTTTTCACATATTCCATTCTTAAAAAGCACGTTTATAATTATTCTCGCAGTTACTTTAATTTCTCTTATCAGTAAAAATCATCATCATCATCAGCAGCAGCAGCAGCAGCAGCGGTATTCCTCTTCACCATCATCATTACAATTATACAGAGGCAACATAATATGGCATTAATGTAATACATAGCTATCAAATTCTGAAAATGTTGTGATCCCTCGGAAGCACTAAAAACAAATTAAAATTCATGAAAATTGCAGACTCGGTTTGATTTGAGAAAAATACAAGAATAGCAGACATAACGTTTACAAATATATGATGCTAAATCGAACATTTAACAAAAAATCTTACCTGAATCAAGCGGGCAAATAAGGTCATTATTTACTCTAATTTTGCAACCTTTTGTACATTTGCCAGTGATTTGGTTGCAAAGTGTATCATTGCAATAAGCGGAACATATCTCAGAACACTGTAAACCATGGAAACCATCAACACACCCATACAGACATTTACCATCTGTCTGCTGACATATACTTCCGCATGCCGTTGTTTGTACATTGCATGTAGGGGCACACGAAAAGTTGCAACTATCACCATAAAAGTTACCCTTGCAACTGTCACAAAGACCTGTTACGATATGACAGGACTTAAGACAGTTTTTTGGACATTGCTTGTCACATTGGTCATTAAAGTATCCAGACGTGCATTGTACACATCTAGTATCTGACAAACATGTAATACAGTTGCTATTATTTATACAACATCTGTCACCAGAATAATTGTCTACACAGCCATCAGAGCACGTGCCTGTATCTCTATCACATACACTGTTCAAACAATTAGACGGGCATCTTTCAGAGCAACGTGAACCATAATAACCAACAGCACATTTTTCACATTTCCCTCCAGCAAAGTTATCATTGCAATAAATACAATTGCCAGAGTCTTTCAAGCAGCCACTCTTGTCACAATTGACTGGACAGTGACTGTTGCAAAAATATCCATAATTGCCAGTTATACACCGATTGCACTGTCCTCCTGCAAAATTATCAAGACATCCATTTGAGCATTTACCATTACTTTTCTCGCATTGCCGTTTAATACAGCCAACGGAACAAGATATGCTACAGTTCTGTCCATACCAGCCTGTTGAACAAACGTCACATTTATCACCAACGATTGTAGCTAAAGTACATCCGTCTGTGCAATCTCCGGAATACGTTTTACACACGCCACCTTTACATCCTGCAGGACATTGTTGATCGCACATGTTTCCATATTTTCCGGTTTTACATTTGTCACATCTAACACCAGCGTAATTAGGAGAACAATCACATTTTCCAGTTAGCGTATCGCAAGTGTTTGATAAACAACCAGTCGAACAATTTTTCTCACATTTTGGTCCATAAAAAACAGTTTTACAAACCGAGCAACTGTCATATGACGAGCATCGTACACAGTTATCTCGACATTTGTATGTACAGTCGTTCAACAAAGGGAAATTAATGTTGTCCTTCTGGTAACCTTTATAATAACCATCCTTACACAATCCACAATCAGTATTCGATGTACAATTGACACAGTTATCTAGACATACGCTATTACATGAATTACTGGTATCATAATATCCGTCTTTACATGACACACACTGATTATTTTCACAGTTACAATTTTCAGTACAGTTACAATTATTTTGACCATCAGCGTTATAATATCCCTCTTTGCACGATGTACACGTGGTTCCTGACGTGCAGGTTTTACATCCGGGTAAACACTTTGATGTGCAGTCTTTATCAGAGCCAGGGTAATAGCCATCATAGCATGCAGTACAATTATCTGTATCATCGCATCTTTTACAATTGCGTGTACATCGTTTGTAGCAGCGAGCACTTGTATGGCCATCAATACAGCCTAGTGTACATTCGTTTGAATACAATTCTCCTCGTTCACATTTTCTTTTTATACAGCATGCACAATCTACTTTACATTGTTCATCAACCTCTGTAATAAATACAATCATACAACCTGAACATTTTTTAATTTAATTTGAATTGCTGAACAGTTAATGCTGTATTACTAAGATGATGAGATTATGTGTATAGAGTTCATTATATGCATAATCAATAACAAAAACATATCGGTTTACTAAAGTTTTTATATACGAGGGCTGTCCGGAAAGTTCGAAGACAAGGCTATAAAATCATTAAAAGCAGTCATATCAATATGATGATTGAATATTTTGCTAAAGTATTTATCTGCTACATATTCCTAAATTTAAAAAAAACATGAAAAAAGAAATATTCGCAAAGCGCTTATCACCATGGCAACATGATCAACGAACCACGGAGCACTTTGATTTCATGACGATAACTACTCAAATAACAAGTTGCTAAAAGTTGTAATTTTAACGCAAACTCTCGTTTTAATTTTGTGACATCATGAGATAATATTACATGATATTTAGTGAAATTATGATGTCATACGCAGATAGACAGCTTGTTAACGATGATTATAGGCAATGAATGTGCATAAATTTTGAGTTGCAAAAATGACGTCAAATTCACGGACGAAGCAACGTAATGATATTTAACTTCATAGCAACATTAATATTGCACCAACTGAGATTTTAATCTTTATTTTAAAAACAAAACCAACCATAAAATGTTCAAGTCAACTTGTGTTTAAATGTCAAATAAGATTAAGAAGCGGCGATGACAGTATATCGTAGACGACCAAAGGTAGCATGCGCAAAATATCGTATATTGCGTTACAACAACCTTTGAAGAAGACAGACATCTCACGCACTGTATGGAAACCAGTGAAATTTTTGTTTTTAAATAATAATTTTAAATATGAAATTCATAAAGTAAAAGTCGTAGTACAATTAGTTAGACTGCATGCGCTACTTAATCAGTGCATCAACCGGCAAAATAATAATAAGTTTCTAGCGTAATAAACAGCAGTTACTTGCTACACATTAAAAATGATGTCTGTGAAAATTCTATAAATGTAAATTATGTTTAATACTCCGTCGACTGCTTTGTGATTTTTTTCTATAACGGACTATAACTGACCTTCTTTATTATAGGTATGATGCAATACAAACACACATAGTATTAAATTTGCCTGGGAAAACGGATTGCTTTAAGTGCCAGTTTTGGAAAGAAAACAAAATATGCGGTTATTAAGACTACATTCTTTTATCAGAAATAGCATGTAGCAAAAAATATTGCAATTTGCTGTGTTTATCCTGCAAGAGTCTAAAGACTGGTACTGAGTTCGTACATTGATAAGGGTAGTTTCAGTTGTACGAATAAGTAACCCCGACAAAATATCGCGTTTGGGCGAGTCCATTTAAGCATCCAACATTGCAGTTTTTGGACGTCCATTTTGTTATCATGTGATATTGAATTATTCGCTTTGATGGCTAAAGGCAGGCAGTGTACTGGAAGAACTGTTCAAATCTTGTTAATTGTATATATCGCCGTCCAGGAACGCCGATAATGAATTAATATAAGAACTTTCCGATTAGTTCAATAGGTAGAGAGTTGGACTGTGAATCTGGTGATCCTAATTCGATTCTCTGTACCGAACAGAGGTTATTAGTTCCTTGCGAAAGTGAAGGCAACTAGCTCTAGTAAACTGCTTGAAAGCCTGCTCAAGAACGATGCGGTGGCTGAACTGTGATTTGGTAAATATAATGTGACTAACATACCAACACCCCCACGAAAAGCTTGAAGACACAGCACTTACCTCCTATTGTGTTGTAAACAAGTTGAAATATACATATTGTACATACAATCTGTAAAGACAATTAGGTATTTCATTATTTTTAGAAGCATTGTGTTATATTGTTACATCTGATATCAGATGAAGAAAGTACATATAACACTTATTACTGCGCTCTCTATATATGTATTTTTACTGAACAAGTACACTTGTATAATACTTCTACAGGACACTATTAATATCTTCAAGTGACAATTATAATATTTCTACAGAACAGGTATGATATTTCTACAGGAGAAGTAAGATATTTCTACAGGGCAAATATAACATTACATGTAAAAATAATGCATTGGAAATTTTATTACACTTTCTTGCAAATATTATAATATTGCTACAGAACAAGTGTTATGTTTCTTCACAAATAATATAATTTTTAAGAGGTCCACGAGGCAATGCAACATGTCAAAACTTAAGCTCTTTGAATTCTAGTTTCATAAAAGAAGACTATATTTTGACCTGATTTGTATCTTTTACAAATAGTTTTGAAATAAGTGATCCTATAGGTGTGGACTTTTAACCCCAGGGGCTTGATTCAGAGGACTGGATGCAAAATATTTTCAATTTATATGTACAACTTAGTTTTAAATGTTTATTATGTTATATCCCCTGGCGTCCGTCCGTCTGTGTGTCCGTCCGTCCGTTAGCAATTTGGTTTCCGGAGCATAACTTAAGTTCCATTTGGCCAAAAATATTCAAATTTCAATGGATGATTGTCCATATTGAGTAGAAGACTCCTATTGATTTTAGGGTCATAGGGTTAAAGGTCACGGTCACTGTTACCTTAAAACTGAAAACAGTTTCCGGAGCATAACTTAAGTTTCATTTGGCCCACAATATTCAAACTTCATAATATGAATGTCCATATTGATTAGAAAACCCCTATTGATCTTTGGGTCACAAAGTCAAAGGTCAAGGTTACTGTTAGTTTAAAACTTAAAACAGTTTCTGCTCAATAACTTAAGTATTAATCAACCTACAGCTGTAAAAGTTGATAGGATGAACAGCCAAGTACAATACATGAACCCTATTGATTTGAGGGTCATAAGCTGATGATGGTCAATATTGGGGCCACAATATCAATTGACCTTTATATTGTTAACAGTTTTACAAATCGCAAACTTCATAGGATGATTACTTATATTGAGTACATTAATTATATGCTCTAAAATATTTGCTTATATTATGTTATACCCCTGGCGTCTTTCCGTCATTTTACTTACAAGATAACAACTTTATAAGTGTATCGTATGTATGTATCAAATTGTTATCTTGTAAGTAAAATGACGGAAAGACGCCAGGGGTATAACATAATATAAGCAACATTTTTAGGGCATATAATGAATATATATATATTCCGCTGTAAAGAAGGATTGCTTTTTGAAGGAGGTAAAATATTTTCTAATTCCCATATCTTACAAATGCTTCTTTCGAGCATATAATGATCCGCCTAGCGGTGCTTTTGTTTATAGCTGTTTGAAATACCGGAATTATAATTTCTGTATAGGGCTATCTCTGAAGTTTACTTTAAATCTTTCAAGTGTTTTAAAAGGAGGTGTTATTCAGGGCAATGACCAGTTGAACTAAAAAAAGTTATCCAGGTCAGAAATTAATTCAACTGGTATAAAACTCATAAGCATCTTAAAGCTTCTTTCCGACACAAAATGTGTCCAAAAATTAACATATTTGTTAACAATTATTTGAATTATGCATGGATGTAACATTTTCTAACTGTGACCTAACCGTTGTTATGTTGCACTTGACACTGATATAAACATTCCTTTTATCATAACCGTGAACATGTAGCGAGTAGGTCAGATTGATGCAGGTAGAACTTACTATATTGATATGAGTGTTAAACCGGATTACCAAGATAATTTGTTCTTTGTCTCTTTTATAGACATTTTCTCTGATACATTACAGGATAAAAGAATACAAAGCATACAAGTGTTCTAACCGCAACTAACTGATCTACTTGCAACCAGTTAACGGGTGTGTTTATAATTTAAGTCAATACGTTGCAACGGTTTACAATTACAGCAGGATAAGCATTGCAAATACTACATTTTCGTACTGACTGTCGCTTGGTGCATTTTTACCCCAGTATTTTAAAGCTGCATGCAGTATTTTAAAGCTGCATGCCTCCAGATGAGTCAAAATATATCAAGAAAAATCAAACTTGTGAAATATGTACTACGATTTTAGGAAACGTAAAATGTTTTAAGATACAAGTAATATTTTACATGTTATGTGCGGTTAATGACTGATTTTTAGCATTTACAACTATATTTCTACTGCGTTACTAACGCAGTAAAGGCTATTTATGCATATTTTGACTACTTATTGGTAATGTACATGGCTTGTAAGTGCCATTGATAATGTGTAAACGGCTTCCTTTTGGTTATCTCACAATATTATACATTCAAATACATTTTCAAAATTTTCATGAAAATTAGCATAAATCTGGAGGCGTGCTGCTTTAAATAATCTTTGAAAAGTTTTCTTTGAAAAGGTTATGTCTCTAGCCATTGCGATATTGAGACCAATATTTCTAATCGCCATGTACATAAACCCTAACACTGTGTACAGTCTGTACTGAATTATCGCAATAATATAGGCAAAATTCATAATAAACCTACGGTTTATTTATTTTACAAAAATGTAAATAAATACAATTTATCATTAGAATGGATATATGGAATAACTTTATTATATTATATTACATCACATCACATCACATCACATTACATTACATTACATTACATTACATTACATTATATTATATTATATCATATTATATTATATTATATTATATTACATTATATTTGACTTACCCAATTTAAGTTCCTCATTGTTTCCTTTATTTTTTTTACATTTATCTAACACGAGCAATACTTAAGTTCTATATTTTTTATTGTAGCAAGTTTATAAATCTTCGAAACGGAAGTGAATAAAGCATGCCGTAATAGCGGGTAATTATTTGACAGACTGCATTTTAAAATATGATCTCATTTTACCAATGGTCTTAAGTAAGCGAAACTTAACTATTTTCAAAATTAATTGTCTATTCATTAAACAAGAACCTACTTGTAAATGATGTATGAAAGGTTAGTTTTACACGAGCAAAACCATGTAAATCACGAGTGTTTGTCATGCTCATTAATGTTATTATTAAATGGTTTAAACATGTCTTGTGTATTTTTCTTATCAATTCAATTGCGTAAAGCACATACAAATATAAACATTGGCAAATGAAAACATATTCAAAAAGAGAAAGAAACTCATTATTACCAATAAAGAGGTGTCTTGGTTATAAATCACGATTGGAACACCTTAGCTTACTGTTCTCTTTTAAAGCTGCAAAGCTGCAAAATAAACTCATGCTGTGTCGGTGCTAGAAGCAGTGTTAAATTATTTGCGAGGTCTGACATTTGAGAGTTCTGATGAGCGTTGGGAATGATTGCTGGCGGCAAACATTTTTGCGTATCAAACTAAAGTTAATGAATCTAATTTAAAGCCTAAGATCATAAGAGCAACTCTACAAAAAATATTCAAATTACAACTTTATTTAGATTTAACACTACAAACAATAGGTTATTCTGTTTTCAGTCCTTAATTAAGCTGTATTTATTTGTTCTATTTGTTTTCTGAATATCATTTAACTATGTCATGTCTTGGAAAAAGAAGTTACATTATATTAGGTCTGTGAGTAACAAGAACAATACCATCCCGAGGAAAATACTGTTACCGAGGCAGTAGCCTCGGGAAACAGTATTTATGAGGGGATAATATTTTTGCTGTAATTCACAAATGTATGTGTTATTCAATTACTTCATCGTTGACCATGCTACTATACGGTTTTATTTTTCAGATTTTTACTGTAAAGAACTACAGTTACCTATGTAAAAGTACATTTTTTTAGTTCCATGGTACATTTAATTATCAATAAGACTAACTTGTCATATCTAAAATTAACATGAGAAGACATTGGAAATTAACTTTACAAACAAGTGAGGAGTGATAATAAGCAATACGACCTTGTATAGCTAAATTTAAAAAGTACTAATATATAGAGGATATTTGTTTGTTTGTGTGTAAGATGAAATTTTATTTCATCGAGTGGGCTTTAAAAAGAGTATTCTCACGAGTGGCGTAGCCACGAGTGAGAATACTGTTTTTAAAGTTCACGAGATGAAATAAAATTACATCTTACACAACAAACAAACAAATTTTCTTTTTATTTTATGCTAAAATACAAGTTTAAACGAAATTTCCATAATATTAACATAAATATTAAAATCTGTTTCCCCATTGAGAGCCCCATTTCGTGCGAATTTCTCATTAAAAACAAGAAGTCTTGAGCTGAAAAATAAGTCCGACAATCAACATTAAATGACAGTGATATTAATTATTTTGTTTAAAAAATATGAATGATCGCTTGTTTTAATAATAAAAACAAACAATTCGTGTATGAGAAAATTCCAACCATCCATCCATATTTCTGTTACTTACTGCGAATTTATATTAGACCTGGCTTTGTTAAATGTAAGCGGCAGCCATTTTTTAAAGTTGTGTATTTCACGGGAGGAAAATAATTGTGTTTGATTCAGAGGGATATCATTTGGAATTGTTAGTCATACACCTTATTAAAAGAAAGAAAACATATTTGAGGATTGAAACAGACAAAAAATAAGTGTTGACAGATGTGAAAACATGAAAAAAGCAGCTATGAAAATGGAAGACTTGGAACTTGCTCGGAACGCTGGGTGGTTTAATTGTTCTACGAGCTGTAGCTGTCATTGCTTTTCAATTTTTCATAAAGCATACGGCAGTTATTACTCGTATATACTTTAATATGCCCAAATGTCATCAAGAGCAGTTTGCATGTGGAAGGAATGTATTTTTCAGACTGTAAAAATGAAACAAAAATTTTAGAGACGAAATTTGGTGATTGGAATTTGAATGAATAGAAGTAAGTTTTCTTCTTTTTATTACTTTTGACGTTTAAGGTATTTATCAATTTCAGCTTTGCTTTTTCTTTAAACAGCCTGACATTGTCAGAATTGTCAACAAAAATAAAATTGAGGTACCACATGGGGAAAATCTTAAAAAAGTAGTTTCGTCATTGAAAAAAGTGAAATTATATTTTGATAATTTTCACTGTGAAATTACCAAATATAATTTTCACGGATAAATCAGTAATCCACTGAAAAGCATAAAATAAATAAAAATATACACATAGAATAAAAGAAAATCACTAATATTCGATAATTTCTTCTATCACCACTGTTCTTAAGCTGCACAAGAACAATAAAAAACTCTGTCTGTGTGTGTGTGTGTATGTGCGCGCGCGTGTTTGTGTATGTGTGGGTTTTCGAACCTCTTTTTAAAACCGAAATGTTAATTATCACAGTGAAAAGAGTTGTTGACATAGAATTTTGATCTTGGCAAATAATTTGTTGAGAAAAATTTATTTTTGATGTATGTGTAACATTTTGTAGCATTTAAGAAAGAAAGAAATATTGAGTCCCAGTTACAGATACAGAACAACTTAAGTTCACTAGTTTTAAAAAAACATAAAGATATAATGAAGCAAATTGAAGCATGCTAAGCTTTAAATCCATTATGTAATGTTATATGTTTTGTGTATAAATGTGTATGAATGTGTACATATTAACAAAAAAACGTATTTGCTCCATGTTAAGTAATTTTTGTATATAATATCCATTTTCGTGTCTTTTTTTAATTACATAACTTTAAGAGTTGTTGTGTGTGCATGTATTTTGGTATTATGGTATAGCACATAGAGTGTTCGATGATAACCACCTTTTGAACACATCAGCGGATCAAAATGTTACAATGGTTACCATCGTCATGTTAAAACTTAAGCCGGTGCTAAGAGACGTGCCACGTTGGACCTTGTGTATGTCATGATATGTGTACGTTTTTTTCTGATATAGTTTCTCTCTTATTTTGTTATGAATTTAGATACATGTTTACATATTTCGTCCTTTATTTTATATAAATTGATAAGTAAATATAAATAGTCAGCATATTTTTTGTCTTTTGTGTCTGATTAAGAGACATTTCTAAAATGTACAATACTTAGAAGTGTGACAATATATTTGCAAGGATGGGAAGTCATTAAATTTAACACATTTTTTTTTCTATACAACAAAATCACACAAACATAAAAATGAATAAATTACATGGATATTTTTAAGAAGTACATTGCTTATAAAAAAAATTTAAGTATAGATAATCTACAATTATAAGAGTCGTAGTGATGGTAATAAAAGATATTGTTTTTTTCATTTGTTCACATTTAAAAAGTACACTCGCCGTTCATATATGATATATTTTGATCTTATCATAAACAAATTAAAATGCATCTGATGAATGAGCAATTATTTTATAATATAACTGTACATATTGTATAACTGTAATATGCACATCCGTTATATTTAATTGTTATTATTGTAATTTCAATAGTGCAGATATCAAAATAATAACAAAAAGTCAAATGTTTTATTGCGTTTTATACAAGTATTTACAATAATGTTATAGCAGGCTTCATACATAAACACATACATACATACATACATACATACATACATACATACATACATACATACATACATACATACATACATACATACATACATACATACATACATACATACATACATACATACATACATACATACATACATACATACATACATACATACATACATACATACATACATACATACATACAAATATATTTTCACATGTGTATAGACATTGCATAGATATTCGAAAGATAAAGCCTTAAACATGTTTTATAACGTTTAATGCAGAATACACGCTAACATTCAGTTTTAACATTCAATCAACTGGAACGTTCATATACAACATACATTAAGTACAGTAAAATTTAATAAGAGAAAGAAAAATGATTCCATATCAAATGACAACTTGCTCGAAAACGAAAGTGACAAGTTGGTGACCAATTGATTTCATTTCAAAGAGCTATAAATTTTCTAAATGATACACGCAAAATGTCACTCGGACATTATATGGATATGAATATAATTTTATTTCAACCCACAGCCCACAGCAAAAGCTAAAGGAGCAAGTTGACTAACATATGGATCTAATATAATTGTACATAATGAGATGTCATTTTACAAAGCTACATTATTAACAAGTAAAGCATTTATGAGTCATGCTCAACAAAATTCACATTATTTCATCTTGAAAGATAAGTTTGAGAAAAATTGCTTCTTTAAAGTTTGTTCACCATATTCTTATTCTTATGACACGTTTACATCCTGTAGTAATTAAATCAAAATTGTTTTGCATATTTGGTCGTCTGTGTAATAATATGTTGTTACAAATTGCTTTCTCAAATCGTTATATAAAAATATGTTTTCTTTACATAAAGCGTTTCATATAATCGCTCATTTTATGTAATTAAGTATTTAATCAAACGATTCTTTTCCAAGTCTTTTCTTTTCAGAATAGAACGTCAATACTTCTCTTGACCCTGTTTTGAAGAATGCTTAACAGTGATATGATTCACTTTTCATAGGTTATATTACTAAAATACTTAGTTTGAAACAACAAGTTATTGTTTGTCCAACAAAAAAACCTGAAGTCCGCTTTAAACACATCAAAATATCAGACAGATAGTCAACATTATACAATAAAGAACGACACTGGATACACCATTAACAATGATTTTATGTTTTATATATGTATAATGTAGTCCATCGTTTATAATTCAACGCGTTTCTCTAATGACGTGACGCTTAGTATTGAAAATTGTTGTTGTTGAGCATTTGTCTTCGCTTAGGCTCACTGCAATAATTACATGAATTATATCTCATTGGCTGGACAAAATTGTCAATATTCATGCTCAGATACTGTAAAACACAATAAACAAAGGCATTCAAAGTATGTCGAAAATCATTTTTATGAAAACATTTGAAATGAAAAGTAAAAGTCCAGACACAGTATATACTGATACTAAATAACATTGCTATTTACATTGCTCTGATACGAACAACTAATTCACAGATACCTTGAATTGTTCCAAGGTCCTCATAATCATGTGACTTAAACATAGTATCGCTGTTTGTGGCTTTGTCGCCGTTTGATGCTGAAAAATAAACCTTTATATATAATGTTATTCTTGTAAAACATCAAAGCAATTTAACTTATTTGATAACATTTAAATACATGCTATTAATTATCTTTTAAACAACAACAACAAGAAGAAAACTTGCATTAGCGGAAAATATATCTTGCGTGTAAGATTTAAAGACTTGCAAAAATACTTTAACACAATGCAATTGCTAGAGAAAAGGCATTTGAAAGTTTAAATTAATGACATAACAATCAGTTAAAAAAAACAATAAAAACAACAACAAAAAAACCAAAAAAACAAGAATAAAAAAAAACAAGAAAAAGCAAAATCCAGACATAAACAAAATAATGAACAAAATACGTACAATAGAGCTATTAAATCTTTCATTATTAAGAAATAATTAAAATGTTAAATAATAAGGTTTGATGCCACGAAGTAACTAACCAAAAACAACTTTTAACGCCGTAAAAATTCTGAGCAACTTCAAGGTAATGAAAATTTGGAACGTTACGTGCCCTTTTGTTTTAAAGAAAGAAATAGAATGAGATATGGGGGTGCTAATACAATTTCAAAAATTGAAATGGCAAATGATGGAATTATTTTTTATAAGAAGTCAATTAAGATGATTAGATAAGGAAATACCATGATCAATTCTATGATTGCTGACATTCCCAGCATTTCCACATTCAAGTTCGATGCCTGAAACGATTTGAATAATTCTTTAACTATTTTTATCTATAGACTTTTTACAATACCATACATCCACAGACACAAAAATACCAATTCGCTTATGCGCATTCTGTGTAGGACAAAAAAGGGGGAAAATAATTATAACGACATAATACATATTATCAGTATTTAACAACTTCATAAACAATTTAATGTAATCTGAATAATTAGCCGTCAGTTAGGGCTATTTTATTTTGAACAATAGCCTATGCATTTCAAAACTCGGTGGTAGAACATGATACGATATTGATCTAAAACTGAGCCGAATACAATTAGAAATTAAGAACATGAAATTCATTATTAAAAAAATATCAGAAACAAATGAAATATATAGTTACAAGAGTTATCATAATCCGTTCCCTTGGTGTTGCTATTACCATTGGCCCTTTAATGCAAATTAATAACATTTTAGACTCGTTTCATAAATCATTATACTCGTCTGGTAATTGATGATATACAACAACATCTGTTATGTTAATTACATTGCTTAAACAGTATTTTTCATCGGAGACATCTCTTTTTTGAAATATCACAATTCAACAATAAAGGCTGTCCTAATACTAGCATATTTACATATCTAGCATGTAAGTAATAAAGTACGAGACATATATGAGTAAATTATACATGTTATACACATCTGTCTTCTCCAATATAGAAATGTTATCATCAGTTTCTACAAACCACTCATTTTACACTTTTACACTACGCAAAGCTTATTAAATTTCTTTTTTTTGTATATATAAACAGCAAAGCATTTTTTGCTTTCTTAACATTTTTTTATATATTGTACTGTGACGTACGTCTTTCGTATAAAAAGCTTTTTTTTCAATTTTGACGTAATTTTAGTTCTGTCTTTGACTTTAATTCAGTTAAATACATAAACAACCGTTACCTTTTCCGACATTTCCTTAGAATCGATGCAACCACAAATAGAATGTTAACAAGTACTGACACACCAATAATTGTTCCAAGTAATATAACAGCTGACTGCTCTGAGGAACAACTTGAGTCTAAAATCATATTTCGTAAAGAAACATATGTAAATAACACAATGATCTAAGCGTAGAAATAATAGCTTGCTACATGGAACAATAAAAGACATAATTAAAGGTTTTTACGTGGTATATGTTAATACATTTATAATGGCAAATCATATGTTTTCATACATTGCATATCTATATTCTACATATCAACACGTTTTAATTGTTGTCACAGTAACTATAAATATTCCTATTATTAAAACTCAGCAGCAGCAGCATCCCTCATAACCATCTTATTACAATTTTACAGAGGCAACGTTATATGACATTAACGTAATATATGGCTTCAAAATTCTGAAAAAGGAGTGATCCTCGAATGCACTGAAACAAATAAGATGACTTGCCAGAAATGCATTGATTGCACTGTCCTCCTACAAAGTTATCAAGACATCCATATGAGCATTCACCATTACTTTTCTCGCACGTCTGATTTTTACAGCCAACAGAACAAGACATTGTACAGTATTGTCCATACCAGCCTGTTGAACAAACGTCACATTTATCTCCAATGATCGTGTTCGTAATACACCCGTTTGTACATTCTCCGGAATCTTTGTCACACACGCTACCTTTACACATTTCAGGACATTGTTTATCGCACATATTTCCATATTTTCCAGTTGTACATTTGTCACATCTTACTCCAGCAAAATTTGAGAAACATTCACAGTTTCCAGTTAATATATCGCAAGTGTTTGACATACAACCAGCTGAACAACGTTTCTCACAGATTGGTCCATAAAGACCAGTTTTACAAAACATGCATCTGTCATAAGACGAACATTGCATACATTTATCACGGCATTTGTATGTACAGTCGTTTAACAAAGGGAAATTAATATTGTCCTTCTGGTAACCTTTATAATAACCCGCCATACACGACCCACAATCAGTACTCGATGAGCACGTGACACAGTTACCAGGACATACACTATTGCATAAATTACTAGTATCGTAATATCCATCCTTGCATGATGTACAAGTTGTTCCTGACGAGCATGTTTTACATCCGGGTAAACATTTTGATGTACAGTCTCTATCAGAGCCTGGGTAATAGCCATCATAGCATAGCACGCAGTACACGTATCTTCATGGTCAGGGCATTTTCTACAGTTGTGTGTACATAGTTGGTAGCAGCGAGCACCTCTATGACCATCTATACAGCCTAGAGTACATTCTTCCGCAAAGTAATTCCCTGGTCCACATTTTCCATTTATACAACATGTACAGCCTTCTTTACATTTTTCATCAACCTCTGTAATAAATTTGAGTCAAACTTCCTATAGACAAACAGGAGATTATCATTTCTAGTGATTTTTAATTTGACTTGCTGAACAGTTTATGCTCTATGAATAAAATGGTGTGATAATGTGTCTATACCTCTTTATATGCATAATTTATAACATAAAAATCTCGATTTATATTTAATTTTACTAGTATATATCCAATATAAACAAAAGCATTTAGTTTAATTATTTCAAACAAAACACTTACCTGCTGTCGCGCAGAAAACAAGTTGGATCATACATACTGTACATATATTCTGTAAAGAAAGTTTGGTATTTCAGTACTGTTTACCTGTATAATATGTTTATATTAAGAGGATATTTTTTCGTTTGCGTGAAATATGGAATATATTTTCACGAAACATGATAAAATGCCAAATATTTTCACGAGCCGGTACGGCGAGTGAAAATATGTGGCATTTTATCATGTTGAGTGAAAATATATACCATATTTCACGAAAAACGAAAAAATAACCTTTTTATTTAATTTCATTATCAAAGAAAATGGTAACGAATCCCCGTGCTTGCTACCAACTGCAATTGTACAGCGCGCAGTAATTAATGCGTAAGCACGCGCTGTTTGGCGCTACATTGTGACGTCATGTAAACAACTCTTTCATCGTCTGTACAGCGTTAATTACTGACTTAAAGATATTGGTGTTCGGATTAATTTTCTTAGTTAGACCATTTTCTATCATGCTAGATAGTTTTCAAAACAATATTCAAGAAAAATTTGTTTTGTATTCATCAGATTTTTCAAACAAAACGGAAAACAAGTTGGATCATACATACTGTACATATATTCTGTAAAGAAAGTTTGGTATTTCAGTACTGTTTACCTGTATAATATGTTTATATATTGATATATTAATTAGAGTTTTCGTGAAAAGTACTGTTCATAAACTTATATTAAAGACAAATCTTTGATCATTTTGAGAACTGTGTTGTATTATACTGTAAATTTTCAGAAATATTTGACATTGTTTGATGGTAATGACATTATTATGTATTTCACATATATTAGTCCTGAGGGAAGTTCTTACTATAATGATAGAGACGATAAAAACGGTATCAATGAAATGTTAAATCATTTTGAACAAATTACTTATGAATACCCGGACACCATGTTATTTTTGTCAGTTGGCCTTATTAGTTGATGTAATGTTTTTTAGACTTTATCCCATGTGATAATTAAAATTTTATTTTTGGGAATACTGATTATAATGGTAGTACTTTTGATATTGTACGTCAAAGTAAGGATAATATAAGTGGTTATAATTATGGTAAATGTTTAGTAAACTTATGCTGTATTTTTGATATTCATATACTTAATGGTCGTTTTTCAAGCGATAAAAACGGTGAATTTCATGCTTCTTAAATGATGGTTCAAGTGTTATTGATTTTATGATAGCATTTTCTTCTCTATTCTCATACATTAAAGATTTTGAGGTTCTTACTAGAGATGAATCTGATCGTTTTCCTATATGTTGTACTTTTGTGATTCGTAAAAAGTCTAATAATGCAGATAGCCAAACTGCTCAAATATCATTGAACACTTTTGATAGATATAAATGGCGTGAGGCTGCAAGCAAAAATTTAGGTAATTGTTTTATAACCATTACACGATGATAATGACCAAAACACCTGAATTTGGATAGCGCAGACTTATGACAATATGGTAATTGTAGTTTACAATATAAACAGTATCATAAGTGCTCTTAAACAATCTGTATGTTCTTAATTTTGTTGCTGTAAGAGCCATTTATAGTACGGTGTCAATTCAAATCAGTTTGTCATTGAGCAATATGACTATTCATCAATGCAGTACATACATCATTCAATATCTTATTTTTATCAAAAGGAAGCATAGTATACATATATAAATCAATTAAACACAATTTAACTTTTACAATAAATGGCCAATTTCTACATCTATTATTGCCTCTATTAACTGACCAATTTAATATTTTCTGATCCAGTACATAGCAATATCTTATCTGATGCCAATGGTTACATACAAATTTCCACTGGTCAATAATAATTTGTTTCCAGTCCATGTCACCTTGGACTGCAACAATAGGTATGTATTTACCAGTACCAAGAAAGAACCTTATTGCTCTGGGATGAACGGCCTTGACGCAAGAAAAAGATTTAGTACCCCACACTGACAAAGCATACGTGATAACTGGTAACACGCAAGAATAGTACACATTTGTGTATACATCATAAGGTAGACCACCGAACGATTTGTGTCTAGCAATGAGGAGTCCGAGGGCACGTCCAGCACATTTAACTACTATTTTAGCCGTTGTGTTATAATCTAGGTACTCGGTTACAGTTAAACCAAGGTACATATATCTAGTAGTGTAATCAATTTTACATACTCCACATTTAAAAACAAAACGTGACCTTGGAACTGAATTTGGTCTAAAGTGTAGTACTTTACTTTTATTAACATTATTACCAATTCGGTTTCCTTCACACCATTTGTTTAACATTGATAATAAATCTTGTAAATCATTTTCATCTTTAGCAATCAATACACTGCCATCGGCATATAACAATATACAAACCTTTTCGCCATCGATATCAATGCCTTTGTTCATATTTTTCAACATAATAGCTAAGACATTGATAAAAATAAAAATTATGGTAGACAGTGAGCAACCCTGCCTTACACCAGTGTTTACATTTAATAAGTCGGTACACATACAATTTACTCTAACACATTCTGACATATCTTTATAAAGAGACCTAACTACTGAGAGCATCTTGGTTGACATTCAACATTCATTAAGCTTACGCCATAAAATTGACCGATTGCTTTTCTACAGTCAATAAATGCAGAATGTATTCTGTTTGTTCAATTAAATTTGTAACACTAGATATATTGTCAACAGTACTACGTTTTTTTTTTCGGAAACTGTTTTGCACTTCAACAATATGATCATTACTTTCAGTTAACTATGAATTTATTCAAAGCTTCAACCTCCGTTAAAGTTTCACAGATGGATCAAATATGGCTGCCATAATGTTAGTATCTGTAAGAACGGAGCAACGATTTCGCTTTACCTCACATTTGCATGAAATGACCGACACTGAAACGATACGCCAGTACATGTTTTATTAACCGTGTTAATATCATTGTACATATACCTGAAAATTAACTTTAAGGGAGTACTAACAGCAACAATGCTATATAACCAAGAAGTCAAGAGATTAGCGTGTTTTCGCCCCACGACCCCTTCAAGTCAACAAAAATGTCGGGGGCGCAGAGAGAAAGCACGATAATTAGCGGGGTGCGGAGCGAAGTTTTAGAAATAAAACGTCGTCCCGTGGGACGCGGAACGAGATTTAAGAAATAAAACAGGCTATTTAACGGGGCGCGGGGCATAGTTTAGTAAAGTTAACTTCGACCTGCACCCCGATAGGACGCTAATTAGCATGTTTTCAATCCGCATCCCCTCCGTTTTATTTCTGAAATCTCGCTCCGGGCTCCCGCGGAATTAAGTTTTTTTTATAAAACTTCGCCTGCGACCCCGCTAATAACCGTGTTTTCGCCCCCCCCCTCCCGGCCCTGCGAAGCAAAAAGCCAAGAATTAAAAAGTTAAAATTAAAATGTCGGGTGTGCAAAGCAAAACACGCTTATTAGCGAGGGAGCTAATTAGCCGCCCCCTTCTTTTATGTTTTAAGTATCGTCTCGCGCCCCCGCTAATTAGCGCGTTTTCGCTTCAAGCCACCGCCATTTTAACTTGGCAAAAACACGAATGGCACAAATATGCCACCATTCTTTTTCACTATGATCCTAATTTATCAAAAAATGTTTTCTTACAGATGAATTCACGAGTTTGAATTTAAGTTTGCAAGGTTCTTTCCAAAGTCACGTTTTTATATAACACTAAACAGTCGATGTAGCTTGCTGATCATATTTAATTGTCAAATGTATATGATATTATTCAAATGCATGTACTTATATATTACTGTACATATAATGCTATCTTCAAAGGATATCTACAATTAAAATTTAATGGAGACACTTTATTGTGCTATTGTTCATTTTCTATTCAACATACAATAACATCGTAATAATTTGAAAGTAATATGATATACACGTTAACTTTAGGGTTTCTTTTCCATGGTATGTCAATAGAAAAGTTTAGTCTTTTCTTAATACTTATACGAACTATATCATCAGCTGATTATTGCTCGTATTAAATCTTAGTTGAAGGATTCCCCAAAACATAAATATATTTATCATCAAATTTCATTGAATCCTCGTGCTATTTTACATCAAAACACTATCCATCGGCTGATAAAATGCTACAGGAATTTTGTTTATCATATTGTTTCTATTTATAGTATATCCCCTAGTTGTATTGACATTTACATTGAGGAGAATTAAAGAGATCTGTTATGTTCATATCGGGGCTTTGTCAGCAACTTCATAAAGAAAACTTATCGTTTTCATATGGTGTCACTACTCGACCTAAAACTTACTGAAGACGGAAACATTAACTTTTTCAATTAAATTTTAGACGCTTGCTTATGTTATTTTACTCAATTCATTTTAATAAGGGACATAAATAGTTTGATAATACCTGGTATGTAAATTGAGTAACAGTAAAGAAACGCGGAATATGTATACATATATATGTACATGTATAAATATATATATACAAAAATAATAATGATAATAATAATAATAATAATATCTTTATTCAAAGAAGGTAACACATAAAGATATACATACCATCTTAGAAAACAAATAACATATCTTACTTCTAAACAATATATAGAAACACAAACACAAAACATCATAGATACATGTAAACAACAATTCATTAAGATTTTGTCGTATTATATTTTTGACATATGAACTTTTTAGATAGAAAACATTTTTACAAATCTAATTTACAAATATTCTAACAGATAAACATGCATATTAAGTTTTATAACATAATGACATGGTGAAAGAGCTATGAAGGAATCAAATTTTATCTGCAAGATATGATTTTATACTTATTTGTAAAAGATGTAAAACAAGTAGAAGAACGTATATGAGATGGTATTCTATTTCAAATCTTAGCACCACTGTAACAAAAGTAGTTTTACCATAGTTTGTGCGATGCTTAAGTACAACTATGTCATTATCTGATGCTGATCTTAAATTGTGAATTTCATTGCTGGAAAAAGTAAAACATTCAAATATATAAAATGAGGCTAGTTTATTACAAGCTTTATAAATAAAAATTCCTAT